GGATGGTCTTGTGGGGTCTCTTGATGGTCTTGTGGGGTCTTAGGATGGTCTGATGGGGTCTCTTGATGGTCTTGTGGGGTCTTCAGATGGTCTTGTGGGGTCTCCTGATGGTCTTGTGGGGTCTTAGGAAGGTCTTGTGGGGTCTCTTGATGGTCATAAGACGTCTGGACCACAACACTAATACATCGGCTGAACTGATCACAATTTCCATGTCAGACATTTTCACTAGCCATGAGCACCCCCAGAGTGCTGTACTGTATCTCCCCTCCCGACTGATTTAAAAAAAATGCAAAACAATAATGTTCTGTGCAGAATGGGCTCAATAAATGGAGAAACTGACCTTTGTTCTTGATCTTGCGAGCGATGGCAGCGGCAGTCTCTGGATTTTTGCCATCAAAGGCTGCAAATGTCCCCATGCCTCGAGCTCTGGACATTAATGTTGGGTACTTAGCCTGCAATTAAAAAAAAACAACACAAATACCGCGACCGGTGCATATAGTTGTAACCAAATTGACATAGCGCTCATTTTACTGCACAGGAAGGAGAGAGGTTCTATGTTCTCCACAATGCTTTAATGTGCTGGCATTAGGCCAAAAAAAAGATACTCGGTCTCTGGTCAGACCAAAGTTCCAGAATTGATGCGGTGATGCAGTTTTTCTTCCGGGGGGTTGAGGTGGCTTTTTAAGACTAGCAACAGACACGATTGTTGTTTAGGCTCGGCAACAGGGCCTCTGAGAGTTGCAAAACATGAGAATGGGTAGGAGATACTGTGCCAAAATTTCACATATGATACTAAAAAGCCAGTGTCCATGGCATTTGATTGCATCTCAAAAACGGGCCAATATACATCTTGCCATTTTTTAAAGGTCAGGTTTTTCAGCCCAAATAACACCATCTCAAAATGTCACCCTTCAAAACTCCACTGGCTTGTGCATATGAAAATGACTACCATGTCACACATAGAAATACTTGTTTCCCTTCAGGAGCTCTCAAACAGACTGAACTAGAATATTATTCTAGTCATCATAATTTCTCCTTTAAAAGGAGAAATTATGATCCAATCCCAACAATCATACAAATCTCAAACTCCAGTTTGGGGTGACGGCATGACTAGTAAAGACCTCTATGTGATACCATTCAAAACTCCATTTCCACAAACCAATTAGTCAAAAAAATACTACTCTGATCTTGATGGGGCACTTTTAAACTTTTCTTGATAGCTGTGCCTTGCCCCAAAAGCTGACCTTTTTCTCTTTTATTTACCTGTAGACTCTGCAAACCTTCTGTTAAGACCTGACCAGACTCTCTGGCTACATCTATGAGGTTCTGCTTCTTGACAACCTCCAGGACAGCTCCAAGGATCAACAGCCTCGTTGTATCACCCATCCAGGTGTTGAAGATTCTACTTGGCTGTCAGAATAACAGAAATTCATATTTTTTTAAAAAGCATACGTCACTGACTTGAAGTGGAGTTTCATTTTCTTGTGATTCTGTCTTCCACAGATGCCACAAAAGTGAAACCCATGTACGATAGGGAGTCCGACCCTGATTCCTAGGATTAAATCCAGGATACAAATGTTGCTTTGAGCAATGGTGTAGCTCAAGCCCAAGACGTTAAAATCTGTGTTACGTTTGTCATAAACTAAAGTCAAGTCTCAGTTTGGACCCGCCACGTTCAATAGAATGCCATGAAACAGCAGGTGTACCTCTATAATCAATTATTAAATGATTAGGTTGGAACGGATGACCGAAAGTTGCTCCTGAAAAGATCAATCAAAGGATGTAACCAATGGGTGGTTTGAACCCATCCTCGAAGATTTGACAATGCCAACACTGACAGCCATGACCATGTTCAAACCCCACTTCTAGGGGAGCCTATACTGCTAAGCGCTATTCTTGTCTCACCTGATCCACAGCAAACTCATCCTTGAAGTAGTAGCCACCAGTCAGCATCTTCTTGCTGAAGACGAGGAAGTCTGGAGGTTCAGCCAGATTCCAGGATTCACTTGCCCAGAAATAGCCTGTCGTACAACAGCCTGTCTGAACCTCGTCAACAATGAAGACAGAGCCAAACTGAAAAATCACAAAACAAAAGACATCATCACAGATCAGATCAAGTAAGAAGAGGTCACATCTGATCAAATCACATCAAATCAAATCACACGACAAATCAAATAAAATCTTCAATTACTGCTGAAACTGGTGCACCTGAAACAGTACAACGGCCCAATGCAAATATGTTGGTAAAATAAAATTTGAAAAATAATTAATATTCCAACTTTTCCAACTACAATTTAGCAACAGTGTTCATTCTTTGAGAGCCATTACACACCGTGCCATAAAGTTAATATCCCAAAAAGGTAAATTTTAGTCATATTTTTACTCATTGATTTTGCTTTCTCATTATAAAAATAACAATGAACATGCATGATTTCAATTTTAAGGACCCGATGCAAGGGACACAATGCCATGTACACATCTCACCATGTACATGAGCGTGACTGTAGGATATGACATGCCCTTGCTGCAGAAACAACAGGGCAGGGCTTTTGAGAAACACCTCAGCCACATCATTCCACAAAGCTGCAGCCACAACTACAGATTTATGTCAACCAGATCTACATGCAAACCGCACCTGCCGACGCAGAGCCCCCGCCAAAGTAATGCAGCTTCCATGGCGAGATTTAGTGATAACTGTGCCTCATCACCGACTATTTGACCTACCTCTTTGCATATCTTCTGCAGCTGCTGGAAAAAGTAGGGGCTTGCGTGATGATCGCCCCCTTCTGATTGGATGGGCTCAACAATCACAGCAGCCACGTCTCGACCTGTTGCAAGGCCCTGCTCCATCATTTCTACCACCTGAACAAGAACGTTGAAGAAAACATATTACATTACCGAGCAATTTTCACGAATAAGTTATACAAAAATTTCATGGATTTTTGAAGAGAGTGAGCTAAAACATATATGCAAATACTGAGGGTGTTTAAAAACAAATCAACCCTGGTTTGAAAAGCTGGGCTCTTTCAGGAATATCTGGATTGCAGTTTAAGGTTCAGTCACTGCTTAGCCCCAGTACCTTCAAAATGTGACATAGAATTAGGGTTTGACACTTAAATGTCCAACAAAATCAGTACAATCTGACCAAGAATACTGCAGGTGAAAGAGCAGATATATACAAACAAAAGCTGGCAAAATCCTATGGCAATAACTAGCACGTGTCCAAATTATACTTGGCTGTGGCTGAGAACAACACACATGACTATGATAGCAGCCAAGAAGTGGCTTTCTCCATCTTCCATAAGTTCATGTATCATTTCACGCCATAGCTGGACGATCTAGACACAGCCTCACTAAGGGCCTTCCCGGGGTGGAGTAAATCCATGCCGGGCCCTGCTAATGCCAGTTTCTTTGTTTCAACGTTTTCAGATTTTTAAAAACTGGGCAACTCTTAATCGTTTCTGCACAGAGAAATTTCTTTGGAAGGCGTGTCAAGGGACGGGGGTGATGGCCGATAGAACTCTTCCAAACCCAGCCACACCATGGACATACCGCTTTCAGACACCTCTCCTCCTCGGCCCTATTCTCTGTCTCGTGTTCCTCCAGTGGGTACTTCAGCCGGGGGAAGGGAGCCATGGGCCAGTTGTCCATGGAGGGGATGTCCACACGGAATATGGGCTTGGAATGGGTGAGAGTTAGGCAGCCTAATGGACAGGAATTGGTCATTTGGGTTAGGAAGTGGAAGGACTCTTTTTAAACATCTAACAAGTACATCCACCAAAAGTATTCGCCAAATCAAGTGTCACAGTCAAGCTTTTTTTCATCAATACCACGCTTTTACAAGCGCTATTTGAAAAGTCCTAAAAATTTATTAATAATCTAAAATGAATTTTGAAAACTACCAAACAGAAAAATTACCAAGAGTTCGTCCATGGAAAGCTCCATCAAAAGACAGCACTGTGTAAGGCGGACAGCCTGGTTCCTGTCATGTAAAAAGGGAGAGTGTATGAGAATCGCACAGATGGAAACCACAATGGGTTGTAATGTATCATGTACGCGCAGTTACTGTTCTTTGAGCACATCTGCTTTGTTGCATTTAAGTACCACCTCACTTTTAAATGGTGAGGCTGGAGCAACAAATAAATACCACTATAAGAGCTACGGCCCACTGCCAACACAAGGACATTGTAAGAATGAGACAGTTTGATGTTCATCAACAGAAGGCTTAAAATGAAGTGCATCATAGGCCATTCGAGACCACCAAAACCAGCCTGTGAGATCAACCTTATCAGGGCAGCCATGCGCAAACTCACTCACCCTTACGTATGGATACTTGTGGGGTATTGCCTTTGTTCTCGGGTACAAAACCAACACACAACATGGAAAAAATTTCAAATCACTGCCATTTCAACCAATTTCAGTTTCCTGGGTTGAAATTTTGACCATATGTCCCTTATATAAAACACTTCAATTTGCGACAGATGAGTGACACTTGAAAATTCCTCCTTGTTGAGTAAATCTGAAACATCTACTTTGTGAAATTCTTGTGAAGGATCAAAACTGGCCTTGTGGAATACCTTCCGTTGTTCCGGTACCCCACAAGGCACGATGTACAAGTGCACAAGCACTGAAGAAGTTCAAGCTGGCGTGACGCGGGCTCTTTGTTGCTGTATGACCTTGTTTTGTAAAATGACAAAATGCTCCCTGCCTGACATGTGCCAAGAACAGACCTGCCAACGTGCCGTACTCCTTCCAGAGGCCAGGCATTACCATACAATAGACTTAACATTTAAATGAACTTCAGGCTCATTTCAATACCTTTCAATGTATTGTGTGGTAATGCCTGACCTCAGGAAGGAGCACGGCAAGGTTAGGAGGTCTGCAAGAATTCCAGGCACACAGTGTAATTCCCCCCCCCCCAGGAGATAGCTCCTTGGGGGAAAATAAGCTCCTTGCTTGTTGACACATGTAGCCCACAATGCCTACCACCTTCTTCTGCAATATCCTACACAACTACACTAGTACAAATCATTAGGCTTTTGCTGGCCAAGACTCAACTACCTACCTGACCGCTGACGCAGGTCTCCAGTTCTTCCGCGGTTGGTGGACCTCCTCTTTTCTTAATCTAACAATTATTTCAAATGCAAAGACCACTAAGTTTTTAATACAAATGTGGGCTACAGAGGGTCAATTAATGAAATCAGCCATTCATTCTTATACAAGTAACCAGCAGTTGCCAAGGGTTTTACCACTCAGTGCTCAAGATTCATGAACTGTTCAGTTCAAAGGGAAAGGAGCAGGGATCTAGACAAAGTAACATTCAGAGACTGGATTGGGCATCCATGCCCGATTTTCTGCAGACTGTAGACCTTTGGCAACTGCTCCCAGAACTGAGAGTTCCCTGCACATTGTGGGGACGCGTTCACCAGACAAACTTCACAATTCACACACCAAAAGGGGGAAAGTTTTCGTCTCTGTAATCACCTGTATAAAGGTGTGTACAAAGATACTTTTCCTTTGACGTTAGAAGTGAAAGACAGGTAGGGGTTTTCTTTGGGTGACGGTTGAATAAAAAACACCTCAGCCTGTAGTGTTTCTTCAAGAAAGATGCCAAAGGAGCAATCACTTGGAATTTTTTAATACACTTCAATTCAACTGTATTTGTTTGCAAACTGCTACGCATAGGATAATAATTTTCTCTTACCCTGTACCATATCAGCGCCTGCTTCACAGCGTTCTCGTTACTGCATGTCCCACACATCATAGTCTGCACACGGCTCAAACCTTTGGGGGCAACCTGTCAGAAACATAGCACAACAATAAAACAATTCAGCCTCACTCTGTGCTGGAAGAGCAGGAATTTGAAGACTGGCTCAAAAAAGTTCAAGACCGGAACACGAAGTCATTGAAGTGCCTTCATCGAATGTGAGAACTCCAAAGTACATGTATAGTCAATCTTGTAAAGGAGTTCAAAAACAAGCAAATCCATTTTTCACCTTCTGAGAAGAGCTTTAAAAAGACTGCAGGCCAGTGGCTTTGAGCATAACAACTTGGGACTGTCCTTTCCCTTACACCTCAAAACTGCATCTTTAACATTTTAATTCAAAGAAAATCTAAATGATTCTGTAAACATTACTGAAAAATGGCAGGGTTTTAATTTCATATAAAAACTTTTTTTCGTTGGTTTTTATTTGTTAAAACACAAAAAGACCACCAATAATTCTCTTTCAGCAAAGAATGTGAACCTTTTTCACTTAAAATAAAAATATCATAACACGTTTGCTTTGAATGTTAAAACAAGGGGCCAAAATGTGTTCCAAAAATCCATCACTGTAGCTAAAAAGCAGGACAATTGATGAAAAAGTAGGTAAGAGTATTCCATCTCACTAGTGCACAACCCAAATGAAAGGTCTTTTTGTTCTCTCTAATTGAATCCCTCGTTTGTTGTTGTGATGCTTGTAGTTCTAAAAATTCATTAAACTTCTGTTTTTTTAACGTTGCAAATTACCAGCATGCATGCACACTACAAGGCACTCAAATTGAATGTTTAAAATATAATTTATTAATGCAAATCATAAAAAATGACATGCCATGCAGAACTGACTGACATTTCACAGTTGACCCATATCACTGTGTTCCATGACATGAAATATTAAAACAATTATCAGGTCACTGTATCTCAAGCAAGTTGTGACCGTGCTGTCAACAACGAGAGTGCATGCCCAGACTTGTGGGTGCACACAAATAAACTGCAGATGTCTCCTACCGAGTACCGTGCCGTATGTTTGGAAATGGAATTTTCCACTTTGCATGTGGAACATTCAGGGAGTGACAAACACTTCGGCTGACTGATTCTGGTGGCCAATAGGCATGAAAAAGTAGATTTTAAATATTTTGCAATTTGGAATTACCTTCCCAGAAAAAAGAAGTGATAAAATATAACAAAACACTTTCAGCAGCAAGGGAAAGGGTCTGAATATTGGAGTCTTTTTTTTTAACCAAACTAAATAAACTAACTAAAATTTCACCTTAATTGAACATGTCTGAAAATAAAATTGTGTGTTAATACTATGCTATAAGGTCCAAAATATGCTTATTCTAGAAACATTCAAGTATACATAAGTATTCAAAGTAATATTCATATGGCTCAAAAATTCTGATTATGCGGTATTACTGCATATTGTTTTAATCTAAATAAAAGTTTAAAGCAGGATCGTTTAGAACAATCCAGCAATGAGCAATGCCATTTTATTGTTAGCAGTTTGAAAGTACAGTCCATCATTTGTCATTTGTTCATTATGTTCCTTTGAGGCAATAAAATTACTCCAAGTCTAAAGAAGAGTGCTGAAGATCAAATCGGACTTTAAGTTTCAGCTCCGTGAATACTGTGTACTCTGAGAAAAGCAATATTCTAGGAGTTGGATTTCAGATCAAAAGTTGCTGAGTCATGTTTTGAATTGTGCCTGATACTTCAGATAACCATGCACTTTCTTCAAGTTCTACGCAGAGTCATTCATGTTTAACAGGAAAGAAAAATACTCATTCTGACTTTATTTTTCCAATCTACAAAAACTAAAAAAAAAAAGGTTAACATTTGCCTGTTAAGCACATACACTGAAAACCGAAATTGTAGCAAAATGTCAAAACTGATTTCTAGTTTTGTATTGTTAGAAAATTTGAGGATCCCAAAGTGCTTTTAAGCTTCTTGGAATATGTTTTAAAAACCAAAACCCAATCCCAACGACAGTTTCAGTTCAGACAGATAGACATGTCAAGAGTAGAAACGCTATGAAAGTGGAGGTAAGCAACACTCTCCAAGGAATGGCAAGTTAATTTTTTCATATCCAAAGGGTACCCTCCAAGTCACTGCACTATTAGTCTTTGCTGATCAGGTATGGCATCTTCCAAATCCGATATTGCCATACCTGGCTATCCATCCCAAAGTTGCATTGTGAGAAAGCAAAAACGTACATTTTGAGCGTAAAGGTTCACAAAAACCACAACTTACAGACAGCAAGATATCCGCTGCATTGCTGGCAAATCCTGCCCCTGGGAACACGCCCAGAGCTGGCCTATTCACCAAGTGCACCTAGGGCAAAGGTCAAATAAAACACCACTAAGACTTTCAACATCTAGGAACACCCCTCCCCTTACCAATAAGGTCAAAGGCCACTGATTTGGGGGGGGACAAATAAGATTATTCAAATTCCTGCTTTACAATAAAATTCAGATTCTGAGGCAACCTGGAATACCACAATTAATTTGTTCATCACTTTACATGATTCGACATCCGTGTCTCTGTCCACCTGTTGAGATAGATAACAATATACACATACATGTCTGCATTTGGTGTGCAGTCTGCACTGCATGTATCATCTCATCAAAAATGCAATTTAATATCAGAAACCTGAAATCCTCATATTAAAACATGTGATGCTCAGCCACCTGGGAGTGGCAGATATAATGAATATTAATCATATAATACGGGTCACAACACCAGTGTAGTAGTCGAGTACTTTTTTCCGAGTACCAAGTACTGCCGAGTACTTTGACTTCCGAGTACAAAGACAGGGCGAGTACTTTGCCAACAGAGTACAAGTACACAGTGACTACACAGTGAGCTGAGATAAACAGTTCTTTAATGCATACTTTGATGCAGCAGGTACGTGTACACTTTGTACATTGCCCCTGGTCTCCACTTCTCGGAGCCAAAATGCAAGACAAAACCAAACAAAACATCACAAAACAAGCTTTTCCTTCTCAAGAATCCAGGCTGCATGGTTGACAGAGATCCCAAGTTTCAATCAGGGATATTTTTAAAAGTACCTGCATGTCAGTCCCTTTTATAATACAAATCAATTCAATGTGGCCAGTTCATGAACAGTTAGTCTGAATAACTATGACATGGAGATAGGACTACCACCCCCTGTTATCAAAGCATAAACACCCCTGCACTCCATACCAAGGTCAACAAATTTTGTCATGGTAGAATTCCTGGCCAGCGCGACCCTACGGGTTGTTTTTGGAGGGGGACAGGCATTGAACTGAATGTGATGCAAAAAGGTTACCTGAATCAGCTTATTTATGCACATAATGACCTTAAAGTATTGTTCATTTCATTAAACAAATGTCACCTGATCTCTCTTGTTCTTGTTACATGTAGTTTGAACTGGTCAGCTGTGTATTGGATCATTATAAAAAGTAAAAAAAAAATCCACACCGTGTGTTTTAAGATGTCATGTAACAGAACAAGTTTTGCGTCTGGCCCAATCATGATCCCTACCCTCAAAGGTTATGTGGTCAGCAAATGCTACCTTTTTTACATGAAGAGTGTACAATATGCACTTGGGATGCAGTGAACCATCTGCTTTACAATTTGGAAAGGGTGTCAATAAAAAACATCAACTGCAGAGATGAATTGAAAATTCCACTCTCAATTTACTACTGGAAAACCTATCTCACTGCACAAGTCTTTGTCATCCAAGAGTGTCTTGAAACCTAGCTTAAAGAATGATTGACAGACAGCTTAAAAAGGGTTTATGATGTGAACGTTGCTTAGGAACATGTTTGGGGGCATTTTTCTACTCCTTTTAAGTAAGAAAACTGGCATCTCTGTTTGGTAACTCTAAATGAATACATGGCCATTTTCCAATACTCAACTTCAGCTCCGTCTGAGGCTTCATCTGTTTTTTAACTAGCTGACTTTGAAGCTGTAAGCACACTAATTAGTCTAATAGTGCCACAAAACATCAAATAAGATGCAAGAGAGCCAGAAATTACAGTAATCCAATTTAATTTAAATGCTTTAGGCCCACAATCGGGGATTGGTTTTGGGAACGAAGCCCGAGACAGAGCCCAAGTCGAGTATTGGAAAAGGGCCTATGTAAGTGCACTTGTTTCTAACATGGAAACCTTTTATGCTTGGTGGCTATGTCATAACATGGTCAGAAGAAGACATTAGGGGCTTCTGTTCAAATTGTGAATTTAAGACTTGTTCACCGCAAAAAAAAAAATCGTGACAAAAGTATGTTCACTGGCCCACTGTCATGAGTGACTCACCAGACTAAACCAAACTGACAACCGAAAATGTACAGAAATACACACCTAGCTGGACACACTGAGGTTTCTGGCTCGAATGGCATCACCCTTTGCCCACAGATTTGAAACTGACACATAACTCACAAAGGTCCTGGCACAACAACAAACTGAGACCTAGTTAAATTGGATGCTAAGGAGTGCATCGATTAACAAGCACTGCAGGGGAAAAAAAAGGAGACACAGCCTGAGCCCAGATCTTCACGCCACAACATCTGCTGTCTGCTGTCGTCAGGGGAAGGTGATTATGTGTACTGAGTGTATGCAAGATCTCCAGGGCAGACATGAAGTGTGTGGTCATTGAGCTGTTCTTAAGTGGACATCTCCTGTTGTACCAAGATCAAAATGGGCCAAGGTACTAGGTTGTCTACTTACCAAGTTGGCAGGGTCTTTGATGGCATCGATGACTGCAGGGTGGTTGTAACCTTCAAATCAAGTATGACATTCATTCATTACATTTCAGTCTTTTCATACTTTTAAACTGGATCCAAATTCAACAACAATCACATCTGCATCAAGCAAATGGAATGTGCTAGTCTTGAAAATTACTTCTGTTCTGGCTCAGACAGTAAAAGATTAATTAGGAACTACATGTGTCAAAACAAAATATTTTCGTTGGCTTCATTACATACATGTACATATACTGGAAACTGTCGACTGCTGGAAATTTCTTGGTCAAAATCTAGCACAGCAAACTGTTTTCTTTCTCTCTCGTCTTTTTTAAATGAATATGGAAACAACAAACAGAACAACAATAAGACTCAAGGAAAGGCCACTATTGATTTGGAAGTTCAAGATACAGCGTAATCGATCATGCCTGGGTAGACAATTTTTCTCCTCTCCCACATCACCGTGGAAACCTTCAACATAAACATCTCCCCCAGAGCTTAGCTAATGACACAGCTGCATGCAAATTACCAATGGGTATGGAGGAGATCTGTGCAAATGTGTCCAGCAATCGATTGCCGTCCATATCCACAATGTAGTTGCCATAGGATTTCTCGTAGTCGACGAAAAGCTGTACGGTGCCGGCATTCTGGAAGAAACGGAAATCATTTCTTTTCCTCTCTTTTCTGACCCCAACTGAACACCCTGCACTAATCTTTTCAAGTTAAAGCTTGATTTCACAACATACCTCAAATTTATGAGCTGAGTAAAGCCTATCATACAGGGCCAGGTACTTTTAGTTTTACACAGCATTTCCATTTTGTGTACACATAATTACTTAGGCCTGTGACGGATACCCGCCCATGGTATCAAAACCCGGTTCCATTTTTTTGAGCTGGGTACCCGTAAAAATATTTCCACATCTAAAATGTATGTGACCTTTAACAGTGAAAAGTTCAAAACTCTGGTTTAGGGATTGACGGATCTATTTTTGTGACAAATTACAGGCAACACTTCATTAACAAAAAGGTTGAGGGAGATTCCACTTTAACCTTCAGAACAATGCACTACTTCCTATGTACACAAAAGAGCCCTGATTCAGGTACACGGTTCACTGGAATTGCATGCAATGCCATTTGTTCAGTGTTCTTTAAAAAGGTACCTGGTATTGACACAAAACGGGTACCCAGTTCCAAAAAAACGTACATTCCTTTAATGACTTACCCTATTTACAGAATCCAGCTCTTTCAGGAGTTCCTGTGGGAAAAAAAACAACTGTCATTCATGTTAAGTGTAGATTGCCTATGCACTCCAAATGGGTCCAATTTGGGGTCTGATGTCAGACATTTTTCTGTCCCTGTTACAACTGACCTGTGTAGTTTGATGGTCTCTTTGAATTGACTTCAAACTATTTTTATTTGTTTGCCAGATAATTTGCATCGCTTAATCACTCTTGGAAATTAAAGAAAGTGTTCAAAACTTACAAAATCATCCACCAGATGTTACAGAGACTGGAAAAAATATGGACCCGAAATTTATAGAATGACTCTCATTCCCAAGAGAGTGTCAACTTTGGAAGAACCACGCTCTGACTTGGGGAATGAGTGCTACTCGGACTCATATCAAACAGTCATTTGTTTTTTCAATCATTAACAACAAAATTGAAGAACCAAAACAGAAATGTTGAAAAAGAAAAACTTTTGAAAAAGAGGCAATATTTATGGACCAACTTTTTGAAAAGAGCCAAATGCCACAAACACTGACTCTTCAAAGTCTTTCATACAATGTCTGTGCAATATTTCTGTCTCCAACATCAACATGTGTTACACTCTCACACCTCACCACAGGAGGAATTTTGTGAAAATGCAGGCAATGTGGCGTGAATTCTCTCCACAGACTTCCTGGAAGTTGTGTACACAAAACAAAAAGAGCCCATTATGGAGGTTAGGGGAAATCAGCATTTGGATTATGCATGCCATCTTATCAACCTGACTGTGTTTGCATGGCCTCAAGTGTGAAAGGTTACTGCTTGTGGCTCTGATCTAACAATGTTGGTGTGTGAAAGGACTGCAGCTAATGCTGCTGTTACTAAACATGGATAAAAAAAACCAAGACATTACCAGTGTTTTGGGTCCAGGTACTTCTGTCTGAAGCAGAGGACCGTCATATTCATTAGGAAGAAGTTTCTGCACAGAAGCTGAAGAGCTTACATGAACCCCTTGAGGAAAAAAAAAATGAAAAATTCAAAACGTTACCTTCCCAAATCCTCCAAAATTCTCTTTACATAGGAGGAAGTTCCTGAATGATTGATGTAGTATGGCAAGAAAAATGTGTGGCTGGTTGGGAAAGGCCGGAATGTGTCAAGCTCTTGGGCAGGGCCTTGTGTTTATTTACGCCATGCACAAGTTTATGCCCAGATATGTATGAAATGGTCACCGAGTGCTCAAAAATATCATTCACATTGCCTCCACATACCGGTACTGAAAGGAGCTGCCAGAGAATTTTCAAGATTTTAGGCTGCATCCTAGTAAAATGACCTCAGGCGTAAGGGTAAAGTGTGAAATAAACACAATTACTTGAACAAAAAAAAATCTGCCATCGAATTTCTTAAAAGTTAAAGCCTTATTAAAAATAATGGAAAGAGTACTAAGTTCAGTCAGTCCAAAATGAAAACCATACAACCAATACAACACTCATCAACTGGTAACAAAAATAGAAATGATACTGTAAGTTTAAAATTTCATATTTAATTTTTTATTCAAATCCTATTTTTAGTCAAACTGTTTTTAATGTATCTTTTTATAAGTGTCCTATTTAGTTAAACATTTGTGTTCATCTTTCTATTTAAAAAGACCGTCACTGTCCAAAACAGGCTTCCAGAGCTACGGCTAGGTCTATTGTCTACGTGTCTCCACGCATTTCCAATGGAGCAAAAACCTAGACCTAGCTCTAGACAACAGATTCAGACGCAGCCTATGCTACAGTCAGTGTTACCCTGACTGGTCCCAAGGTTATGTATAAGTAAAACTGAAATCTAACATATTCAGAGAATGGAAGACTGGTGAGGGTACCAGTTACATCATACAATGTTAGGTTAAAAATCAGCTTTGAACACTTGCACTGTATGCAGTTTTGTGAAATTAGCTCATTTAAGTTAATAAAAGTTAGGTGTGAATTACAGTGTTTAATACGGACATTTTAATTTAAAAAAATCAAATGTGACTTTCATTTATGAGATTTCACAATATTTTACTGCTGCTTTAAATCACTGATTTACCTCAATGTAAATCAAAAGATTTAAACAATCTTGATGGATACGGAACTAAAATTTTGCATACACTGTACCAAATGCTCTTCTCCAATTTACAAAGTCAACATTTAAATATTTAAAAGGTCTAATATATTTCAAATTTCTTTTCTATGAAATTCATGTATACAACATTCTTTTTAGCTTTTTTCTTAAATTCAACTTGCAATGGAAATACGGTTGTTTTTTTTAGAATGTTCTAAAGCAATGGAAAGTCAAATTTTACCTGACTGCGCTTAGAAAAAGTTTAAATCTACACCTACACAAATGACGTACAAATTACATTTATCAAAATGACATGCCATTAGAAAAAGAGCGGTTGCCATTAGTGACAGAAGTATTCACAACTAATTTTGTAACACATGGAGATGCAGTGGCTGTTTGCTGCAATCTACATATACGTGCAATTAAACAACGTTGCTAAATTTTTGGGGGGGGTGTATTACAGAGCTGGAGTACATTTGAATTGGTAACATATTGTGCAGTTTTGTATTGTTGAGTACTTGAATTACTTAGTTGTATTTTTAAAATGATGGACTATTTGATTTACATGTTCCCTATTTTGTAGTAAATTGCCGTTTTCTGGTGTTTAGCCTATTTGATTTGAGCAACGTTCTTTACTCAACCTGGTCCAACCATGGAGGAAAGATAAGTCCAACTAGTAGGACTCTACGAATTGCCTCTGTTAACATCTGGACATATGGTCAGCAAAAGTTATGGGGATTGTATACTTGGGGACCCCCCACTTTTTTGTAATGTTTATATTGCAAAACTAGTATTGCGCTGACCATATTTTGAAAAAAAAAACCTTTGAAACACCCACAGTTTCCCCTCATAATTCCCCTCAAAACTCAAATCCCAACCCTTTTAGACAACATCAACCCTACAGTTATTGAGCATGATGTCCCAGTCATATACCAAGCTAAATTCAAAAGTTGAAATGTAAGTCTCCATTACAATAATAAGTACACCGTCCCAAAAATTTACATCCTGATAGTTATTAGAGTCCTACTTCTTTCTTTTCCTTTGTCCAGTATCCAACCATGTGCATTTACAACCCAAACCTTTAACAGGTCAAGGCAAAATGCCCACCAGATTAACTGCTCACTGGCCTACTGTTTCCTCTAGTTTTATAAAGAGAGGGCCAGGGGCGTACGTCTCTTAATCAAAGACCATAGTACCGGTACATGTACGTCATGATGTTAGACTTCAAATCTGTCACGGGAAAGAGGGAACTTACACGATGTAGCCTTTTCGTCACAACAAACTTAAATAATTAATTTAAACGTGCTAACGTTACGTACATCATGATTCATAGAGCAAGAAACTCGTAGGATGAATGAAATAAATGGCACTCAAGTAATAACGTAAGTAGGCTTGTCCATGGTTAAACTACATGTATCTCCACAGCTGGGACAAACTTCAATTAGCACATATTCCTACGTACCTCGGCCGAAACTTTTCGACAGGCCTAGCTGCCAAGATCCACGGCTAAAGCCTCGCACAGTTAGTCTTAGGGACGAAAAAGCCATCATCACTGGACAACCACGGTACCCTCGTCTTTTGTATCCCACTTTCAATATCTGCAACAAATGGGCGAAAATATCACCACCATGTACCACCCTCTCGCGATCGCAAACGCCAGTACTCAAGGCTTAACTCTGAGGGCGCAGCCGAGAGCTCTGCTTGCATATCGACCTGATATACGTGGACATCCACATATCCAGCTGGCCTGCCTGGCTGGCTCGTCCAGCTGGCTGTTGTGCAATGTACAATGTACAGTACTATAACAATGTACAATGTAGCCTACGTGTATTGTCGCGCAGGTCAAGTAACGGTGGCCTGGGCGCGGCGCCAGCCTGAATGTAGCCTTCCGTATGGAATTCCCTATATCTGCCGCCGTGCGTCACCCGTCGTGCGTCGGTCGCCCGTCGTGCGTCGTCCGTCGTGCGTCACCCGTCGTGCGTCGCCCGTCGTGCGTCGGACGTCGTGCGTCGCCCGTCGTCCTTTTTTTTGGTTTTTTTTTTGTCTCGTTTGCGCAGTGGTATTTCACGTGATCGTTTCACATGTCCATGTACTTGTTCGATCGATCCATCGTGCCTGACTCTCATTTTAGCAGGAGAACTAGAAGATGTATTCATTTTTGCAGTTACGCCAAACTCCACTTGACAGAAAAAATAATATCTTTTCATTTTTAAACCCCGGCTTTTGCAGGCCCTATGCATATGCAACCCATTTGATGGACGACGCACGACGGGCGACGGAAAATGGCATGTTTAGAACTGGTAAATGGTAGAATTGGGACACAACAAAAAGCACTGAGGCGACGGACGACGGGCGACGGCAGATATGGAATTCCATACTTTCGCGTACGGTCCTCCTGCTGCGCACATGTGGAGATGAGGGATGAGCATGCGGATGGCCTGACCGCTTGTCTGTAATCGCTCCGTACTCGCCAAAATAATAAAGTCGAATACACCTTGGCTAATCAAATTATTTATAAATATAAATACTAAATGAATATTTTTTTATAATGGCAGGCCGTGGAAACGTGTGTGATTATGCGATAAGTCCACGTATAATTATTAATACGGTCATTGATCGAAAGCTACCTTTTTGGGGGATTAGCCCTCCCCTGCCCCTCGATCCTCTCCCCCTTTCTCGACATTTGCATGCAAGTCTTCCTCTCTGTTCATGTCTTGCCAGGCCTCTGCAAGGCGTCTTCATGGCTTTCTCGCCTGTGTCCTAGGTCGAACGTTCTCTTCTAATTACAATTTCCTTTTACAATCTTTTGAGTGTCTTTCTTTGGTGCTCTTTTGTTAATTGGTCAATTTGTAAACTTCTCCGATCTGGATTTACAACTTCAATTCTGTTCTGAACTTTTGATGTCTCTTATTGGCAATTGTTTGATGTCAATAAAGGTACTTCCAAAAAAAAATGGCTGATAACCGTCAAAATGTCTAACCAGAACAGTCCTTAACGGATAGAATAAAAAATATTAAAGATTACGAACAAAATGTAGGTAATTGGTGCAATATATCTATGGGGGAAAAAGACAGGCACAAAGATTATAAAGAACAAAAGACATAGATTACGCGAAAATAATTAGGCGCATGCTTAAATTGAAGCGCGTCCGAGGTGATTAGTGAAAAGTATAACGCGCGCGCAAAATTTGCCCTACACGTGCGGCCAGTACGCAGACTCCTTATGGGTCCTTTGTTCTTGAACGACTTTGCCATTTTTGAAATACCAAACTGGTTCACCGTGTAAATTACAATAGAACCAACGTCACAATAATAAATAATAATAACAAGCACTTGTAAAGCGCCATCTATCTGGCAAACCATTCCGCGGTCCTAGGCGCTGTGGGCTCACACGTCATCCAGCTGGTGGCAGCATGTTGTGATCCTCCAACCTGCAGTAAACGGGTACATGTGAAGGCATATATGGCAGTTCAGCCATTTGCGCCAAAATGGCAGCACCGGGCTAGTATACTCCACAGGGAGCTGAGATGGTTTCAGGAATGTTCAGATGACGTGTTAAGAAGTAGTAAGACGTCAGGCAAGATTTTTGAACTAGTAGGGGGGGGGGACTAAAACGTACTTTTGTCGCAAAAAAACTAAGCGGGACATGTATCTTAACTTTAGTGGGAAGATTTTTAAGGTTAATAAAAAATATTCCACAAATTGTTAATTGGTGACAACTGGAAACAAAACAAAGGAGACAACTAAATCCCATAAACTTCTTTTCTAGATGAAAAAAAGGTATGGTTTCTAAAATGAAACATCTGGCATGCCAGAGGACTGAAGTCCAAAATAAGATCTGCTAGTCTTCACGACACGGACACGTGCCTTACTTTCATCTCACTCATTTAATAAAATCACATTGGGTATGGACTGACCAACAAAAGATCGAAAAAGTTACAGCATCTTGGTTAAGCATTAACAAATTTCAACTTCAAACACAGAGCTCTGAAATTCTATGTTAATATGTGACCTCCATCGTTTCTTAAGTTTTTCATCAACTTTACTGACAATACACAGACATTTTTGAAAATTTAAATTCAATGAAAAAATACTGTACTAAACAAAGGCAAACTGTAGTACTCTTAGAAAAGTTTGTTATGACCATGTGTTTAACTTCTCATATCCATCTTTAAATAAAAATATAAATTCCCCACATCAAATGACTGATGCCAACCTCCGTCAATGCATTTGTCGTCACTTAACTCACAATATAGACAAGTACTTCTCTTTGTGGAGGAGATTTGGTGGTGCATTCCTATAATGTATTGCAAAGGTGAACAAGGTCTATCACCTTTCCCTTTTCCAAGAGTGTCCGTGCTGTTTCAGTGTTACTGTTTTGCTACATGTTATGTACCAAATGGTCAATAGATATTGCCACAGTCCTGCTGCATAAAAAAGTATATTTTACGCATTAACGTTTGAAAACACGATCAGAAACTAAATTTAAATACAATTACAATACACCGTATTTAAACCACTAAAATTCCACAACGGAGACAACAAATAAAACATTTCAAGATGGACATTTTGAATAGCTCCAGTACTTGATTGAATATTAAATGCAACACCAAGAATCGTTCAAAACAACACTTTACTCTCGATTAACTACAAAGTGCTGTAAAGGGAACTACGTGCTAGAACTGTTGTTGTGAATACATGAAGCACGGCTTTATTTCCGTAACACTGACTTTCCACCTTCTTTGTAACAGTAAACAGGAGAAATTGTAACTTTCGATTTTGTACTGTCAATATATTGATGACAAACAAATGATGTCATCAAGACAGCAAGAGTGCCTCCAAAGCTTTGTGTGCAGTATATCTACGGCACTTTTTTTAAAACATTTTCTTGGCGCAGGTTTAAGTTAAACATACAGCTTGTTGGGCGAACAGAAATGGCCAATATTCCAAATATTATTCATGGTGAAGATTGTTTTTTTTTTTTAAATCTTATGCTCTTTTGAAACTGATTGCCTTGCAAGACAACATAAAGAAAACCCTCAAGCATAGGTTGATGAAAGTATTTTATGAGAATTTAAAACTATACCACCACGTTTTCACTTCCAAAGAAAACAGGTGTTTCGATCTTGTTTATAGTTTCAACACACAGAAAAATGTATGAAAACAGGTTGAGCTGAATATCCATGGCAGCTTTCCTCGGATAAAACATCAACATCAGTGACATAAATCATATCCTTAATCACTTTGTGCTCCTCAAATAACTACACTGCAGGTAATTTCAGAAATATATGGAATTATGTAACTGTGGAATACAATGACTATGCACCAGTAGTCATGCAGCCAACCGCATCAAACACATTAACACGGACATGTAGAATCACAGTACTCACAATGAGATTCTCGGACAACCAAATACCAAACTCCTTATGACAAAACCAAAAGGTATGTAGGTAGTGCAACTCCCTCATGAAGAAAACATCTTGACCAAAGTCTTAACCAGCAAGACCAAAAAATTATAATTATATTGTACATGCGTTTTTATCTTTGTTTTTAATTTCCTTCTGTTTGTGCTGATTGTTTTTGCTTGTGAATTTTATTGTTTGATATAAATTCAATTACCTTAAATGTTTAGTTTAAGTATTTTTTGTTAAATTTTGATTTACTGCACACTTCAGTTTTCTTTTCATTATTTTGTGTTTAATTTAATTTTTTGGTTTTATTTCAGCTATGTAATGGCCATGCAATTCAGCCCCTGGCTGTGAATTGATCGAATAAATATGAAAGAATGGATTACAATATGCTTGTGGCTTTTCCAGAATAGTTGCAGAACACTATGTAGGTTTATTGACAAAAATATGAGATTAAATCAGAGCTCTGAAATATATGATTGCCGAGCTTTCGGTAACCGAGTACCTTCTTCAGGGCAAGCAGGTTATGTCCTATTCTTTTGCACCCCACACAATTAATTTATTGGCCATTTTACAAAAACTACTCGAGCTGCATATATGAGAAAATATATACATACAGCATTTTTGGTCATGATATTTTCATTTTTTTTTCTTTGTTTTTCGTTTCTATCCAAAGCTGGGGAAGGGTGTTGAAAGTAATGAAAAGCATCACATGCCACACGCTTGGCTGAAAAGGAAGACCAAATTGATGACACTCTGTGTCGACACAAAATGGGAGGTGAGAGTCTACCCATGTGTGAAAATACAAACCAATTAGTTGATGATGAAAGTCAAAATAGTCTGAACAGTCTTGGTCCAAGCTTGTGGAAAAGCTGATACAACATTTCTTCTTGATAGATAAAAACCCATCATAATAAGCTCTGGTAATAATGCAGCAATAATTTTTTTACCTGATAACTCAAAACTTATATTATAATCTGTTTAAAATAATATGACTATTTAAGTTATTCATAAATATCTGAGACAACAGAATCCTATAGGTTGAAAGCCCGTCATAAGAAAGGTCTTAAGTGATTCATAAAATACCAGCCAGAACATAAAGTGGCCACTGAGAAATTACATAAATGTATAAATGTACATATATTTCTTCTTATACACTGCACTACATTCAGTACTTGGTGATGTCACCATTTTAAAATGTTATTTTAAAGAAACTAAATATAAGGTACGTGAATAATTATGAATAATACCATTTTAAATTTAAACACAATTTAAAATCAACAAAAAGAGGCAAAAAAGTTGATGTAAAATCATCTGTCTTCCCAAAAATGTATTTATTCTAAAGAGAAAAAGTTAAAAGCCTCCACTGAAAGTTGGTGGATTTTGAAGCCCAGAAAAGTGAGGCTCCGGTCATCATCAGCTTCCCGGGCCCAGCCGATCTTGAACATACTTGTTTATTAAGACAAGCTACAAACATATTGGGGCAGGAACTTTTACCATGTGGGCAACCAAGGCCATAACCTTGATGCCCCTGGTCTTTGGCTAGATGCCCATTGAAATGTTCCAATAAACAAGTTGAGTTTCTCCTTTGCCAAGAAGAAACTGCCTTGCCCCTTAAAAACAAAGTTCCTGCCCGGACATGGTTGTTTCCTCCTTCTGGTCTTTCTTAATACCTGAGTTCAAATACAACAGTACAACAGATTCAACATCCAAATGGTACAGACAAACGTCAAAGCTACCTTTGAAGAGACTCATAATATATATACAGACGAATCCAGCAATGTTTCACTGGACATTCAAGCAGGGTTTGTACATGTATTTCTGTTGTGGATTAAATCTGTCACCGCAAACACCTTGACTACAGCTATATAGTATAATAAATTGTGGACAATTTCAGAGGCCCCAACGTAAAACAGGACGGTATGGCAGCACCTTCAGAATGGTACATGAACGAGCAACAACCAACAACACTTGCTGCTCCTGAAAGGTCGAGGTGACTTCATGGGGCTAGACTTCCTCCGTCACCGTCGCTGCGGGGTTGGAGTGCCCACCACTTTTCACGCTGATCCTGGACAGCATACGCTGAGGGGAAGAAGGAGCGTCCGGTTCTTCATCATCGTCGCGCTGCATCTTGGCAAACTCAATAAACACCTGATGGTACGACAAAGAGAACAAAAACACAAACAAACAAGTTTGTAAGACCTGAGCAAATGCAGTTGTTGGCTCACTTGTATTTCTTTCCTTTAGCATTAAGGTGCATATTTTCTACACCACTTTTTGCACAGAAAAAACAGTTTTCTTGTCCATTTGTCTTATCCAATATCTGCTTAAGGAATCCTTTTCCCTTCTTGTTAGATTTCATATATCAACTTCCCAGCAACTGTTTGCCAGGAGCCTTTCTTCAAATCCACATTTTTTTTTGAAACAATCAAATAAATCTTTTGGAATTAAAAAACACTGCTTTCCTACCTGTTCTAGAGTAGCCTGGCTAAAACTGTACTCTTCAACATGAAGCGTCTCCTTGCCTGAAACCGACAATAAAAAAGGAAAGTTTCTCACACCCAATGAATCCCAGTTGTATTCATGTGGGTACTTTCTGCTGCAATGTCAAGGTTCTTGAGCTCACCTGTGTGATGCATAACCAACTTATTGCAACTGTTGTCCTGTCTCCTCCAAAGTTGGAGCACCTGAGGTTCCCTGAGCAGATTGTGAGCTTCTCACTAAAAGTCTGATTTGTTACTACACAGGCATGCAACTTGGACTTGGACGAAAAATAAGGAAATTCCGATCTTTACAAGTCTCTGTGCAGCGTTTTTCAATTTCTGATGGCATGAGTTTGAAGTGAAAAACAAAGCAATTAGCTGATCCGAGGAAATTTTGCGTGCTTGATTATAGCCTGTGAAATGGATCCAGTACCAAACTGACTTCTTTGAAATGCATGCAGATGTGCCCTTTTTTTCTTTACATCTTCCACCTACTATAGATATTCTCCAAGATGTTGACACGTTATTCTAGCTTTGGGATTTGTAAAGCTCTGAATGCTTGGATCTGTTCACATCGATGCAGACAGAGGCCCTTCATCTTTAGTGCTGAGAATCACTTACCTTCCTCCAACGCAGCAAAGACCGTGGATAGGGAGATGGCGACCTCACTGGGCACCCTGTAAGTCACCCGCTCCCCAAACCTCTCAATCGCCTCGGCGCTGGGAAACACCTCTTTGATCTTCCTGTCCAGCGCCGACATCATCTCCTCCAAGAGCCTGGTGGCTTGACCGCTGGTGTGGTCCATGGAGTAGTAATCTGGACCCGGGTTCAGTTTGATCTCCAGGACGTAACCCCCGCCGTATTTGCCCTTCAGGTGCTGAGTTGTACCAAGACACCTTCAAGGAAACAAACTCTTTTTTTTCAATTATTGCATTCCATTTCTTTTTTTTGGGGGGGGGGGATGTGTGAGGACATGACAGATATAATTCTTTTGTTTTGGATAACCTCAACCCTCGCAGAGGATTTGCTTTACAAACTGTGAACGACATAACGTGAACGAATAGGGTGGTTTGTGCATGTGATTTTGGTAAACATCTATGCAAAACATTATGGTGTTTGAGCATAACACTAGGTAGCAAAAAACCAACAGAACCCACCCCCCAGATAATTACCTCTAATCAAGGCACCTTTTACACCTTTTTTCTTCAAAATTTTCTGGAAGACCTTTCAGTGTTTTGTGCACAATTGTGGACCTTTTGCCAACTATGGAAACTACCGCTTTCTCTTCTGATCAACATACAAAATGTGAAATTAGAGGTATAAAACATTTAGTTCTCGTTGGTGAGAGCTTTGTTTAACCTCTTGATCTTTTCTCTTTCAAATAAAAACTCCAAGTTCTTCCGATTCCATCACTGTCTCAAGTAGCCACTCGTCTTGAAATAGGGGTATTCCATGTACGCAATACAGGTACACAGTAACAATTAAAACACCTCTTTTGAATTTCAGCGATTGGAATTAGAATTAGGCACCAATGACTGTACACTCGCCATAGAGTTGAGATGGTTCACAGGAATGTTTCTGGGTCCGGTGAGCAGGACCAATATGGTGCAAAGTGTACCGAGGCTGCATCTGAATCTCTTGTCTAGAGCTAGGTCTAGGTCTTCACGCCATTGGAAATGCTAGGAGACGTGCAGACAACAGACCTAGCCGTAGCTCTGGAAGCCCGTTTCGGACACGGCCTGAGAGTCAGCTGGTACTGAAACGTGCTATATAAATATGTCATCATTATAATGTTTTTACAAGATCACTTACTGCAGCTGGCCAGAGACCATGATACCAACGCGAGAGCAGACTGCATCTGCCTCCTCCATGGAATGCGTCGTCAAGATGGCACCTCGGTTGTCACGGAAACTGGAAATGATGGTGTTCCTGTCGAGACGAGACAGAATGTCAGTGATCGGCCACACTTTTCTGGCTTGCTATCTGTTCACATGTACGGCTGAATACAGACATTCATTTGAGTGGGATTGGTACCCGGACTCCTTAAACCTTATTGCTGTTCATGACAGGGTGCAAGAAGTGATGTTCCTGAGACTCACAGGTGCCAATCCGACTGCAGTCAACTTACCAGACAAATCGTTTGGAGGTTGGATCCATGCCAGTGGAAGGCTCATCCATCAAGACAATTTTGGGCCTCCCCAACATGCTGAGAGCAAAACAAAGCTACAAAACCAACAACAAACAGAGAAAGTTTCAATTTCCTGTCAACTGCATTCAGCGGTATTTTGTCTGAGATTGAGACCTGACATGTCCCTATAATTGAGTCATGTTGCAGGTGCACAATGGGGAGTCAGGTTGGTGCCTGTGGCTCTTTCCTTGCCTTTCAACTCTGCGGCCCGGGTTTGAATACCCTGTCTGTGTGGGTCACCGCCTGCACATTCTTCTAGGGTCTTCCTCCCACCTCTGGGCCTGTTTGGATCCGAATCTCAATCAGTGATTTGACGTGGGTTCAGTGACACCAGGTCCCACATGATGGGTAGAGCGTATCAGCTTTGGCAACACTGATTGCAAATCAGATCCGTGCGGAAACAAAACAGGCCTCTCAAACTGTCATTCATGAAGCTGGTTCCCTCTGTCTCCTCTCTGCAGCTATTTTCAGCTAAAGTGCCCTTGGCATTTTTTTAAAAATCCTCGGTTTCGTTACCAGAAATGGTTTATACTAGTTGAACAGAACTTACAAATAAATGAACCCAAAATAAATCGTTCTGTGAACCTAACACCTGCTTCTTGCAGGCACATACTACACCTTTCGTTTGGTTCCTCCTGACAACTTCTGAGCTCTTTTGTCGGCATGTTCAGAGATCTTGAGACCATCCATGTAACTGCAGTGATTAGAAAAAAAAAGGATAGCACAGCCACTGTGAGCAAAATGAAAGCAATCCCTGCAAAGAAATCCAATCTTCTGAATTTGGGTGTTAAATCAGCATCAGACATGGTTCTTAAAAAACTTCTTACTGTCAAATACTATTTAGCACTTCTGCAGCGGTTCCATGACTTTCACTTGGAATATGCAACCTTCTCGTTTTTGTCTCACTTCGTTCCCCGGTAAGGTAAACTGTCAAATTACACCCTAAGCACTGGACTGCAAACCCACAATGCACCAGTGGTGTTTTTCGCAAGCCACCCAAGCAATGCCTCCAGTACCTTATCATTTAATACAGGAACAATAAAAAAGGACAGTATCAGTGAGAGTTCATCAATGGATTGTGCTCACATTAACTGGGGTACTTGTAAGTACATGTACTTGTTGGGACTTGTTTGTTGGGACTTGTAATTACAATGTAAATATGAAAGAAAAGTACTACAACAATGCATACCACCCCTTAAATTCTTTCCCCTTGCCTTTTATCACCCAACTCCACCCCCAACTCCACCCCTCCCCCCTCCCCCAATGAGGCATCCACCAGGCACTCACTGGTTAGCTATAGCCTCGATGTCACTGGGTTGAATTCCTTTCAGCAGCCCGTACAGCTCGATGTGCTCCCGCATGGTGATGTTCTCATAGAGCGGGTCGTGCTGGGGGCAGAACCCCATGACGTGGAATGCTTCACTCAGGGATGAGGTGATGCCATAACCAGCAATTTGGACCTGATGGGCGGAAGGAGAAGTTATAACATTTCAAAAAAGGTGACTTAATCAGACTTCTTGATTCGCGGAAAAGTTCTCTGATCTTAACAGAATCTGCAGCATATCTTCCATGAATTCCAATCAAATTAAGTTCTCAAATTAATTGATCTCCAGAGCATTAAGAAATTCTGAAAAGACTGTGCTCCCTTTGGAAGTTTGCTAAATTAATTATTGATTAATAAGTGATTAATTATTACACATGAAATTGTTCCCACAGCTGGATCCACTTGTGAACGTAACCTTAACCCTACAGCCTACTTTGGCTAGAAACCCTGCCAGATGCATCAAATTCCATCATTTTTCAAAGTGGCTTGCCTGCCCAGTGTAACACCATCCAACAGGTCAACTCTCCCCTGGACAAAACAGCCTGGGAGTCTTTGGTCGACAGTCGCCACAAGATCCAACAGTGGCATTGTTCAATGGGACTAGATCCCTTTGTCTTAACATGGCCATTTTCTTCGGCTGCTGTTGAGAGCCAAGTGTATCAGAGTACATCAGACTTTTTCACCTGATGCACTGGGCTGTGTCTGGCAGGGTTAGGGTTAGAGAAAACAAGGTTCAACCACCTGTCCTTTGGTAGCACCAGTATTCGCTGTGATGACGTTCATGGAGGTGGTTTTACCAGCTCCGTTGGGTCCCAGGAGGCCAAATACCTCCCCTTCATTCACGCTGAGTGTCAAGTTGCGGACAGCCACGTTGATGGGCCCAGTGCTGTCCTGCTTCTTACAGCAGCCCCCACTTCTCTTCTGGAACTCCTTGCGGATGCCACAAACAGCCACTGCGCATTTCTGCAAGGCAAAACCAAGGGAAAAAATGAAAAGGTAGAGTCAGAACACTCAAAAGTT